CCGCATCTTGTACAGCAATTAACCACTAAGAAGAATATATGCAGTGTGTTATTTGTTGAATCTGTACTTCCGATTTGATTTGAAATTGTCTCATTGCTATCTGTTTATCAATAAAACTGTAGGAAAAAAAAATACAGCTTTTTACGGTAAAAAAAAAAAAAAGAAACACTTAAGAACCACTGCTTCATGTGTGGTCCTTTTATTCAAGTTTTAGCTTTAGTAGCACTTTGCTACATTCTTTTCATAGTCATGACATTATAATGATGATGTTAAACATTTCTGTATATGAATGAGAAAAAGTTCATTTAAAAAATTCAGGTAATCATAAAACTATAAATACGAAAAATTACTAAAAGTTCATTATGTGTAGATAGCCACCAAGTGTTCAATTCTAAGTACTGCCTAGCTCCTTTTTTTCATACGTAATCCCTTGCCCTTGGTAGACTTCATCTGTACCCAGTAAGGGATGTGCAGAATGTCTGGTTCCTTTCTGTGATAGTAGGCTGGTGGGTGAGGGGTAAAGTGGAGCTTCCCCTCTGGTGATGGAACTTTTCTCTCTCTGTTTAGCTTCTGCGTCATGGTATTGGTCTGTCCACCAGCTCTGATAGTGAAATGATTACCCAGCTCCTGGCATATACCCCTCCTCAGGAGCAAGATGACGCCCCAGACTGGGTAGCAAGGTAATTGTAAAACTGTGGACTGTGCTAGCTGGGAAAGGAGCTCAGTGGTAGAGCACTTGTCTCACATGGGCCAAGTCCTGAGTTCAGCCCCCAGTACCACAAAAGCAAAACTGAAACAAAATGACTGCATGCAGATCTCACAATGAGGCCTTTGCCTGGAATATGTTTATACCTGAAGTGACTGATTGATTGATTGATTGATTGCAGGATTAAAAATTTAATGAATGAAGCACCCACAGCATACTCGCTGCTTATAATGTACAGAGATGTTATATACGCAGTACGGGATCCTTATGGAATTCGACCTCTATGCATTGGCCGTCTTATTCCAGCTTCTGATATAAATGACAAAGGTAATGAACTTCAAAAGGAATATGATTTCATAGTACTTTTCAAAGTCATTGAATTGCTGATGGTGAACCCTGAGATCTTTAGGTACAAGAACCTTATAGGTGAGAATGGATAGGTAATAAAAGAAATTATGTTCTTGGTTTGAAAGTACCTTTTTTTGACTGTGTCTAAGGAAAAGCTCCTTTTTGTTCTTTTTTCTCTAAAATTAAAAAATGTGTAAAACCTGGAAAAATTGGGGCTGGGGAGATGGCTCAGTGGAATAAGTGCTTCCCTGACAAGCGCAAGGGCCTGAGTTCAATCCCTGGTTCCACCAAAAAAAAAAACTTGGAAAAATATATATAATGGACATTACTATCATTTTCCTGTGTGAATCGCTTATTCGCGTCCTTTTCATTTGTGTAGTATGATTTTGGTGGGTTTTTTTTTTTTTTTTTTTTTTGACTAATGAGGTATGTTGTTCAACCATGAGATTATAATGCTAGAAGGAATCCTAAGGGATTATTTTGGCTTAAGTAAAGTAAGGGCCTGTGTACTTTTAATAGCGTAGAAATAGCCATTCCATTACTTTGTTTACTTCTCTTTTGGGTATTTAACTGATCTGTTGAAATACTTTGTCTTAAATTTTTTCTTGAATCTATTAATTCATTTGATTATCTTGTAATTTTCAGGGAAAAAAACATCAGAAACAGAAGGATGGGTAGTGTCTTCAGAATCCTGTAGTTTTCTGTCTATTGGTGCAATGTAAGTTTTAACATCATTAAGCATATTATGTTTTTCCATATTGATAAAAAAAAGATTTGGGAATGTTGGTACATAGCACTGTTTTCTAGCTAGTCAAGCAGCTGCATCAGGAAGTTGCTTGAGCACAGGCAAGCCAGGCTAGCCTAGACACCTCAAGCCCCTGTCTCTAAAGGGGTGGGGGTGGGAGCAGGGCACATAGTTTATAATTTAAAATGAAATTTTTTTTTTTGGTGGAACCAGAGATTGAACTCAGGTCCTTGTGCTTGTCAGGGAAGTGCTTATTCCACCAAGCCATCACCCCGGCCCAATAAGGATTTTTTTTTTTTTTTTTTGCTCTGAATGCCTTCAGGGCAGGTTTGGCTGGCTGGAGTGTTGTGGAGATCGAACTCTAGCAACCTGAGGCTGACAGCTTTGTGGATGCAGCCCCTCAAAGAGCTGAGCTAGGGCCAGGCCCCCCCCAAATTTTTCTTTTGATATTTACAAAAAAGATTTGTTGCCAGTGTCTTTAAGGAAACAAATAGGTTGTATTATGTGTGTTGGACTCAGCAACTGTAAAGACTTTAGTGTTCCAGTGATACTTTCTAGTTCTAAACTGTCATCCTTCAGAATGCCAGATGTAAAGAAAAAAGTCATTAAAGCATATACATAAAAAATATTAGCTATGGAAGAACAAAATCAAATAGCATCTTATTCCACATTAGAAAGAAAAAGAAAAAAAAAAAAAAAAAAAGAACAGTGGAGACTCAAGGAGCCTAAGTTATTTATCAGGAGACTGCAGTGCTCACCCTGCACCCTACCTAGAAGTCTCCTCGACAGGATAGTGATCAGGAATTAAAGGTTTAGTTCCAACCTTAATACTACTGCAGGTGGTGGAAACTTTTAGAGCTACGACCTATGAGGAGGCTGCTGGCCAGTGGGGGCCTGCCCTCGAAGGAGACCGCGCCTCTTCTCTTTTTCCCTCCCCCACTTCCATGAGGTGGGTGGCTCTGTGGTCCTGCCGTGTTGTAACCTTTCTTCATGGACCTAAAACCTGAACACAACTAATTCTGGACTGAAACCTCCAAAACTGTGAGCCAGAATAAATTATTTCTTTTTTTTTTTTTTATTTAT